ATTTCCGACCCGGACAATTTTAGGGGTCTACAGTATCCTCTAAAATAACCCTTGAAAAAGCAACTGTCTAACTAATTATAGGTCTACACTCGAAGAAGCTTTCTTTACATCCTTTAAAACAAACATACATTCGTTAGAATATTGGAAGTAGACCTCTACGTGGTTCCTTAACATTATTTTCCTCATTTTGGTTACCCTCAACCTTAACCTTCATAGTGGATCCTAGATTTGATCTCAATAGCTCATGATTATAGTCATATACCCTCTTGTATTGCTCTCTGAAAGAGCATTCCGCCATAATCTTTGCAACATTCCTAGCCCTAACTACCCTGAGTTAGATATGCCAACATTTTGTTTCCTCTGTACCCTTTTCTCAAATATCATTAACTTTAAATTTTGGATTCTCTCTTATTGATGTTTTTAACTTCCCACTTAACTATTTTGAACTCAACAAATTAACCTTATATTCCCTACTGCATGAATATTTTTTCAACCACTTTTCTTAATTGCCATGCTTCCTAATGAGGTAGTTTGCCACAATATGCATTTTGTGGACACTCTCCTTTGCATATCTCCATCATCCTTCTTTTGTCATTTTTTTTAATTTTCAAATTTCTACCTAAATGCACAACATGTGTAATTATGGCTTCCTTAAAATGTTCTCTGGACACAAAGTATGTGCCAACTTCCCACTTGTAATCTATCATATTGTTTGACATTTTAAAGCATGCAAATTTGCCTAATCTTATCATGTCTTCATCATTATTGTCATCAATCCCACTTTTAATTCTTATTCAAATTTAGTATCAAAAATACCCCCTATCTATATTATTTATTCATTCCCACAATTTTTATCTTTGAATAAGTCATCATCTGAATCATCAATATCAATATCAAGCTCAAATCTTGGCTCTGAGGTAGCCTTAGGTAGACTCTTAGTTCTTCCTTAACCTTCCCCTCTTCCTATTTTTCCCTTCTCCACTGCCACTTTTATTAAGATTGTTACAACTAGGTTGTTCATTAATAGGTTCTTCAAATTTATTCATAAAATCTAAATCATCACTATTAATTACCTGACTTACTTCCAACATTCCTTCAAATTGATCCATCCCAACATCTTGTGTAGGTTTTATAAGCACATCAAATAAATCAAATTTAGAAAAATTAGAAAAATCAATTTATTCATTAGTATAACCAAAATGGATTTCATTAAGATTACAATGATTATCCTTTCTTTCTTTGTCATCAGCTACCATAGTTCCATTGCCATCACATTCCATAAGCTCAATTTGATCACCCATCACAAGCCCATTACCATCTCCCACAATAGGTCCACTACTATTTGCCACAATAGGCCCACTACCATCACTCACCACAAACCCACTACCATTTACCATCATAGGCCCATTGTCATCACCCACCATAAGCCTGGTCTTATCACCAACCATGGGACCAATTTTATTTACCCTTATAGGACTAGTTTTGTATATCCTTAACGACACAATTTCATCTAACCCCACAGGCTCATCTTCATCTACCCTAATAGGCCCATCACTTTCCAAATCAGACCCAATGTCATCAATTATTACATCTCCAACCATGGGTAATTTTTTAATTATTTCAACTTGAGACATTGGATGTAAAACATACAATCTAACATTTTCATACTTCTTTGTTATATCTATCATCTCCACTGCACCCATATCATCAGACAACAATTTAAGTTCATTTTCAAATTCGTCACTACCAACAAAATATCACATATGATCCACTATGAGATATCTCATTTTCTTTGAAATATCCAAGATCTCAAAGTAATTTCATCTATTTGGGTCACATTTCCACGTGGAATTATAATTTATTCACAAACTGCCCCCCATGATGCATAACTTCTTTAAAATAATCATCCATATCAAACAACTCCTATACACATCAAAAAACAAAAATATTTTAAAATTAATCTAGTGTCATGTATATTTAAATTAAAGGATGAGCAATCACATATTGTGTGGAGAAAATATAAACATTAGAAGTGAGTTGAATAGTATTAAACAAAAGCTCACTTTTTTTCAAGTAGTGAAATAGTAATGTTAATAATAAAGATTACCGAAGAAAAAGCAGACAAAACACACAATATTTTTATATAGGCTTGTCTCAATAACCGAGACTATGTCCAGTTCTCAATCCAACCAAATTGAGTTTCACTATCTTAAATAAGATACAAGTATTATTTCAACAAGCCACTTTTGGCTCAAACCTAAGTGCTCTTTGAATAGCCTCTTCAAGCAATCTACCCAAGTATTCTTTTCACACAAAGCTTCTCTAGGTTTCAACACCAAGTATTCTTTTACAATGAAGTCTCTCTAGACTCAAACGATTATTCTTTTGCAAATAAGTATCTCCAGGAAAACAAGTATTCTTTTATTGACAAGCCTTTCTAAACTCAAACAAGTATTCTTTTACAAACAATCTTTTTCAGGTTCAATCCTATAACAACAATTATATTTGGATAAAGTTTTACAGATGTTGTTTTGTCTTATAAAGAAAACGTGATACAACTAATTAAGAACATAATTCTTTATAGAAGGAATGAGTGAATAATAATTTGTAGAAAATTTCTCTTTCTTTCTGATCATGAAGCTTCTTATAAGTAGCCTAGATGAAGATGAATGTTGCAAAACCTTGAGTTTTCTCACAAGTTTGTTTTGTCTATCTTCATTACGGGTTCTTCGAGGTGAGAAGTGTTCATTGATGCATTAAATGCTTGCATTAATTACATTTCAACAAATTGTCACTTCTTATCTGATCAATGGCTACTTATCAATTTTAGGGTACCAAATAGACAATCTATAGCATGTGTCAACAAGGAGTAAGTTCTGCATCGACTTTTGTTGACTTTTCTATGTGATTTTAGGGATCCATTTGTCCTTGATTCTGACGCAAAGCATGACTTCATTCACTTTAACATATTTGTGAGTTCCAAAGAGCTTTCTTAGTTCAATCTGTTAAGGAATTACTTAGACATGTAACTAGTAGTTGTTAGTCATTATAAATGATATGTATTTAAGACTTTATAAAGTCAAATTGTATGTTTCGTTTGATGACACATCATCTATCTAACAAGTTGCATCTTTATGTTTCATCCTTTTTTGTATTTTGTAAAAACATTTTTATGAAAAAAAGCTCTATTTGTTAATGTTAAAACTTGAAAGCTTGAAGGATTTAAGATCGTCTTTTGACTTAACATATTGTTTTAGGTCAAGCACATAAAAATAATAACAAAAGGGACCGTATGTATGTATCATATCAGTGGAAAAGGAGCATATGTGTTGTATCGTGGACCAACATACGAAAATAATTATAACAAATGCAAACACATGTGGACCATAGGAAGACAATAATTAGTGCAAAAGGAGCATATCTTTAACAAAAATTGGACCACTAGTGTACAAAACAAACAGGGTCACAAGACGAAAATACATACACGATGGACCACACAGTGACATTTTAAGGACACAACAAACTCACTAAATAAAAGAAAAAAGCTAGAACAACAATATGACAATATAACACACAGGTAAAACTCAAATAAAATTGTAACAAAGAACCCTAACCCTAACACTTATTGAATGTGATTAAACACGATGTGACCCCCTTCACCAACAACAATCAAATGCAATCCTCTTCCTGCATCCACCAAATGCGAACAACCATGACTCACTTCACCAATTGCGACCGTCTTCTTCAAGCAATTGAAAGCCATCATCCCATGTTTTCCAATGTTCTCTCCACTTGAGAAAATCGTCCAAATCATTGAAAATGAAAATTTTTTTTACCCCAATTGAAACAATATATTTTTTTGCCGTAAAGCAAAAACGTTGTCATTTACTAAAAGTCACTTAAAAGAAAAATAATAAATTCATGTAATATCCATGTAGACATTATCATTAATTATTTAAACAAGATTAACAAAAAATCAAACATTGACAAATTAATTAAAAATGCGATTGAATTGATTCATTTAATAATGTGGGACTAAATTAAAATAAAAAAATTAAATAAAGATATCAAATGAATAATTTAGCCTATATTTTTTAATATAAAAAAATTACTTTAAATTTTTTTAACTTGATAAGATATTTTAGTATCTTCCTTAGTTTTATACATTTGCTTGATTAAAGGCAACTTTAGGTTTGAGATAAAATAGAAATGAAGCACGTGATTGAGAATGAATGGCCAACCAACCATTCTTAAACTTTTGTTAACTCTAGTGAGCACTAGGATAGGGTTCTCGATCATTACACCCTGTCATGGCCGAAACTCTTGTCCTTACTATGGTACAAATTAAATGTAACTTAGGATTCTCGTCGGCTTTATTCCTGATCGTTAATAATGGTTCAAGCAGCGACCAATGATCATTTTTTCCCACTTGTGACTTGTTTCGTTCAG